GCTTGGGGGCGGACGGGGGCTGCGCTGGCCACTCATCCCTCAGAGATCCCTCCTCCTCTTCCTCCGAGTCCGTATCTGCGGTCAAAGTGGGTGGGAAGAGCGTTACATCAGAGAATGGGGATTTGGGTTTTTTTGGGTGGGTCTTTTTGGGGGGTGCTTTGGCACGTTTCTTTGTGAAGGGGCTGTAAACCAGGAGGGAAAAGCGGCTGCAGGAGGGGCCGTGTGCCAACATTTTCCACCCCTGCCAGGTCCCTCCATCACAAGTCTTGGGCTCAGCAAGCGGAAGCCAAATAAAGATGTATTTCCTTCTTTCGTCAGAAATAGACACTCTCCATCTAGGCCAAATGACTCCTGTCCTCCCTTGAGACAGGATCCAAGGGGGCTGTAAACCAGGAGGGAAAAGCGGCTGCAGGAGGGGCCGTGTGCCAACATTTTCCACCCCTGCCAGGTCCCTCCATCACAAGTCTTGGGCTCAGCAAGCGGAAGCCAAATAAAGATGTATTTCCTTCTTTCGTCAGAAATAGACACTCTCCATCTAGGCCAAATGACTCCTGTCCTCCCTTGAGACAGGATCCAAGGGGTGTTTTCAGCTCAGGAGCAGAAAACTGTGGTAGACATTTCTGCTATGAAGATGTCCACCGAAGGTGCAGCGACACCAACAACCGGGCCATCAACCTGAATTAGTCTTAACCATGGTTATGTTCAACACTCTGACCCAAATCTCCTTTTCTACATGAACCAACTCTCCCAGAGGGTTTTCGACACGGGCAGCAGGAGCGAGCCCAGCTGCCAAGCACGCAACACATCTAACTCCAAATGTCTAACTCCAAACGTGCCACCCGAGATGCTCTGCAGTGTGCAATATAAAGGACATCGAAACGGAGCATGGACCAAGCCGCTCCTCAGTCTGTGAACTGTGGCTTTACAAAGCTGCCAAGCGCCGTGGGCGGTGAGAAGTTATCCAGTGGTCCCCTCTGGCATCTGATGAGTGGAACGAGAAGTATATGGTACCCCGGACGCAATAAAAGCAGGTATGAATTGTCACCTCCTGGCTCATGAACACACCGTCAGCTCTACAATGTTATGGACATTGCGGCGGGGACCGTTCCAGCCTGTGAGCAGCAGCAGATGCTCTCGATTGTCAGCCCAGGTCGGGCATCACTCCCCACCTCCATTGCGTTGGTTGTGGAGATGAAGGAACGAGGGATAGCAGGTTTAGGAGGCCCAAAGCCCAAATATGCAAATTATTTTGGGCATCTGACTTCTGTTAAAATCTGTGGGAATAGGCTGCTCAGCCCGCCCTTTGGATCTATGCCCAAGGTTTTCAGGACTCCAGCTAGAAAATCATGAGGTTAGGAGACAGAAGGACTTGGCACCAGTCCCGCTTCTCCTCCTACACAAGAGCAGCCCACCAGTCATGGGAGGTGCTGCCATATGCTCGACCTGCCTCCCCAAATCCATCACACTTGAGTGACCAAATGACAGGCTAAAGCCCTTTCCTTGAACCTGCACACAGCTGAAAAATCACACACCAAAGCTGAGCTGTTTCAGAGTTGGTTCCTCACTGACAACAATCCTCCTGCGCTGAGATTTGTGTGGCGAAGGGGCACATTCCTACACCAGGAGACTTGCTGGAGAGGAGAGGGGTGAAACAGTAGCTCCCTTAGGTCTGGGAGGGAGGTTTTGTTCATGAAACCACAATACCAAGTGCCAGGGCACTGCAAAAGCTCCCTCTGCCATAAGCCAAGGCTTTTTGCTCCAGCAATAGCCCGTGCCTCCTCTTCCCATTAGCTCCTGAGCTCCCAGCGTAGGAGCCATGTGTCTGTCCTTAGGGGTGAAGCACATTCAAGAGCAGAACTGTTGGGTGGTGTGTACAGCACGGCCAGCCAAAGGCTGTGTTCAAGTCCAGTGGATGCAATGGCTCCTATTTTGCCATGTAAATGGCTAACTTCATGCCAAACATTTGTTCAGTTGGAGAATCACTAGCTCATCATCTTTCCCATTAGTGACATTTCTAAACCGGTGTTGCACCAAGAGATACGTTTGTTATGCATACAAACACCCCGTAAGAGTTTTAACATGGACTTAAATAGCTGCAAGCAAAGGAAAACATGCATATACAAGTGAGCTAAGACAGTCACACAACCAGGCCTCTGACCATAAACTCCACAGGTGCCTCACATGCTCTCTGCCCCATTGTCTGCCTGAACTATAAAAGACTCTTCTACCTCTGGTTCTACTGTCTTCCCAACACTATCTGCAATTCAGCTTTTTCCTTCTGTAACAGGGGTCCCTAGCTCTGTTGGGTTGCAGGAACCTTTGCCTCGGGTGTACTTTGGGTTCAGAAATGGCAGTCCGTACGCAGGACGCGGGGGTGGAGATGAACACTGATGAGGCAGATGGGAAGGCTGAGCACAGTCAGCCAGGAACCAAGCCACAACGCTGAAGGGCAGGAGGATGCTTATGAACATCAGTGCCCCCTGGCAGCCTTTGCCTTCTCCAACTGACTCCATGGCATAATCCTAAGACCATTCCTACCCAACTCACCAAGGACCTCAAAAGTCAGCCGTTAACCACCTCCTGGAGCAGCGGCTACGAGTCCTCATCTGACAGGTAGATGGAGAGCGTCTACTCCCACCAAAAGCAAGGACGTGGGTCAACTTCTCTTTTTAAAGCATTTTTCCCCATTGACGATCAGTACAACACAGGCCAGGAAGAGATGCACTCATGTCGGCTACCTCTTGGATGGCAGGTTGGGTGGACAACTCATGCTCACCCCAAAGATGCAGCAGCATTGATTAGCCAGGGAGGAAGTCACCTTTCACTCATGAGCAAAACCAGACCCATCTCCAAGACCCCTTCCATTAGGCCAGAAACCCCCCCCACAAGCCCCCACAACAGATTACACCATAAGAAGAGATAAATGAGGGGTTACTTACTATAGGAGTAGCTGCTAACTTCAGATATTGCTGGTGAATGGGAAACCTTGAGCTGATTTTTGACTTTTAACCCCACCTCCATCTTCTTCATTTTGGCAGCCACTTTGTTTTTACCTTCCTTGGTGGTTTTCAGTGACAGGCCCAGGTTCTTGGCCAGGCTCTTCTTCTCCTCCTTGCTTGGCAGAGCCTCATGGGGTGGGAGGTACCTGCTGCCACCTCCACTAGTTTTCGGCTTTCCCCCTGAGCTGTCGACAAACTTGAAGGGGGATTTGAGCTTGTCTTGTTTGGTGAGCGACAGGGCCTTGTCAAGCTTGCTGGCCAGCTGCTCCTGATCTGATGGCACCTTCTTCTTCTTGAGCTTTAACTGCCAAGGTGAAAGGAAGAGAGACAGGTAAATACAGAGCAGATATCATGGCAGACCTGAGGGATTTTACTAACCCTCGTAACAGTCTCTCACGCACGCTAGTTAATAAGGCCTCAAAATGATGGTCTTAAGCCCCAGTTGCCATAACCCACCACGGTGCTAGGGAGGAAGAAGAGGAAGATGTCAGCAAACAGCACAGCTTTACCCTTATCAAGCACTACAAAATCGCAAGATTAACTTAGAAAAAACATATTTTCTTCCAAAAGAAGTATGTCCATAGAACACCATGTTTTGGAGTTCTATCTTCTCAACACCGTCTGGTTTTTAGGATATGTTTGGGTTGGTTTTACAAGTTTTTCTCCAAATCACGAGGATTAAAAATCTTCTTTACCCAAAACCCCAGCCAAATAAATACGGATTTCCACATAATCAACGAGCTCCAGAGGCTGGGATGCCAAAAATACCCAAATACCTCTCAGCAAGAGCATCAGCACCACTGCATTACAGCCAGGGTCGTTACACCCTTTTCAGTATTTTCTTGCTTCTTGAAAAAAGTAAATATACTTTACATGTGCTACAGCTAGATAACAGCAGCTGTAACCCAGTACTTAGCCCGTATGCATTTTGGATTTCATCAGCAGCTTAAAGCTCCAGTAAGTATCTCATTGCCTCAACAGGAGCAGAAGAAAACCCTGCATTTAAAATAGCAATGTTGCGCTCCCTTTCCTCCCTCGCTTCGGGAAGTCCATTCCCCTCCACTATCTCGACAGGCAAAGGGGTAAGACAAGCACTGCTCTGCATTCAGAGCTAGTGCAACACTGCAATGCTCTGGCTGGCTCGAAGGCGCTTGCCTCTCTGCTCTGCCTACCAAAGAGGTCCAACCTCCATAAGCCAACGTTAGCCTTCGCAAACACCCCTCCGCTGCACAGACAGTCCTCTCATGAAGAGCTTCTAAACCCACGTGAACTGAGAGCAGACACTCTAAGATCAGGAGGAGTTATCCAGTGCAAGCCAACACTAGCAAAGCAGGAAAGAGATCTGCTTTTGGCCCATGGCTCCATGTTCCCCATGAGGGCACTGACCTCGTTTGAGAAGCTGGGAGCCACATCATGCTCTTCCCAGCTCTGGTTCCTCCCTTTCATCTTGCCACTGCTGCTCTCCACATCCTCGTCCTCCTCCGGGAGGGCCCCTTTGTGCCTCTTCTTCATGCCCTCGCCAGTCTCAGAGTCTTCGGAGAGCAACAAGGACTTGCTCAGTCTGCAAGCCAAGCACAGCATGGGTCAAGGTGGGGGGCTTTCCTCCCTGTGATCCCCACCAAGATCAAAAGTGAGGTGAAATGCCTCCTAGGACAGTGGGGATCCTCAACAGGAGCCAAGTCCACTATGAAGACACAGCAGTTTGGACAAGGTTTTCCACCAAACAGGAGAGCCAAGGAGCCCTTCTTGCACGCTCTTGGCCACCAGCACAGATGAGGGTGCCTGAAATCAGAGACCTGCAAGGTGGTCTCTGAAAGGAAGTATTTGGTGTCTTGAGTAACAGCCACCGAGAAGTGCCTGATTTGGTACAGAGCAGCAGAGGGAAGGATAGACAGCTGAGCTGGCCCTGTAGGTCTTTTCCCACCTCTACTTTGATAGACTCTATAGGTGCAAAGAGACATTCCTGAGGCCCAGGGAGGTGCCTCACTGCCCAGACACTTGCTCTGGTTGCTTGGGTATGAGCAAGGAGGTGGTAAGGAACTGCCACACAGGGTGGTACAGAGGGACAAGGGCACTGCAGGGGCTGGCTTGCTCAAAGGACAGGCAATCCACTTTACAAGCCCGGCCCCTCTGCGAGAGGCATTTGTGATCTGCGTCTTCAGTCTCGCTTCGGGATTTGGGGGGGAAAGGAGAGGGTAAATAAATGATAAAAAAAACAACAACAAAAAAAAAAAGTAGGTGAGACTATAAGCACATCTTTCACTGCTCCCCAGCTGTCTCCAGTAACTATCTGATGGATGATCAGTCAACACCTCAAGACCTCTACCAAACCTCCATTAAAAGCTCTCATATGCCGCCTCCTTCACGCTAAGCCTGCTGGCCCAGGTCATACCACCACCACAAAGCCAGTGACATGGGGCAGCCTCCTCAGCTTCCACGCATTTCCCATCCCCTCCAGCCTCTCTGCTGACCTCCGCAGACAGTTAAACCAACACCTCAGGCCCTGGACGTTGGCTGAGGGTGCATCTCCATCTCCCATGCCAGGTTGCTCAAGCATTCCTGGGATGTGGGGACATGCACACGAAACACAGTCATGCACACACACATGCACAACTCCAGCCACCTCTGGATGCCTCCAGCCTGTCCAGCCACCCAAACGAGGAGCAAAACACAAAGCCATCAAGAGGACAGATTTTCAGAAGCACACGGTCAGTGGGAGCTGGGCACCTGAATCTAATTTGTAGCCTTCAAAGCACATTTGCAAAAATACATAGCACACAGGGAGACAGCTCGAAGGTGCCTTCCCATTGCAGGGACTTGGCCATCTATGGATGTTTAGATGGCCAACAGTGGTGGGATCCAGGCATCCAAACAAGAGCAACTGGACTTGCAAAAGAGAAGAAAGCAGAAGACAGAATGATCCAGACACCTGAAAGAGAGAGGTCAGGTGAAACCAACTCCCACTGATAAAGGGAATAGGATATGAAGACAGCAGAAACACAGCAGAAAGGCCCTGCAAAGTAGATAACCTGGAACAGTCCTGTCCTTCCCGTTTTTGACATCAGCATCAATTAGCTCTACAGCACCCGCTTGCACCGTCCGCTCTCCTGAAAACACATGAGGACGTGGTCCCCGACACCAAGAGCTCACTTACAGGTCCCTGCCCAGTCAGCTGCTCCGTATCACCTCACCGCCGCTCAACTCAGCCTGTCCCGCTTGCACGCACCACCACAGACACGTGCTCTACCAGCGGGGAGGGAGGAGGCTGGCACTGTATTCCCACCGCAAGGACACACTCACGTTAAATGCACACGCTTCCACAACACCACTGCTGCCAGAGACCGGCCTGCCAACACAACGCCACGGCGAGCCCCCGCTGCATCCGAGATGCTCTCCCCAAGTAAGACCCTGGTGCAGCGACCCTGCCATTTTCCCATCTTCCCCAAATTCCAGCCTTACTTTCCACTCTTGCTGTCACTCTTCCCTCTCTCCTTAATGGGTGACAGAGCGCTTGATCCAAGTTTCCTCTTCCTGGGCCTTCCAGGGCCTCTTCTTGCCAAGCTTCTACTTTTCTCGTCATGCTTTTCCCTTTAAAAAAACCACACGCTTCACTGTTAACCAAGGCAACAAAAAAAAAGGCAAAGAAAAAAAAAGCAAAATCAAATTTTGCAACCAAAAAGCAAAACAAACAGGAAAAAAAAATAAAGCAAATAAATCCAAAAAAGAAGAAAAAGGGAAAAAAATTAAAAGAAAGCAAGCAAGAACGGGAGCCAACCCAGAACCTTCGCCTGTCACCAAACTGCTAAACTGAGCTGCTGAAGCCAAGGTTGTCTCTAATACGGTCTCCCAGCTGCATTCACCAGTGATCAGGTTGTCGTGTCACACAGCCTAGGAGTGTGTTGTGCAAAGCTCTGGCGGACCATACCAGGAGGAGAGGAGAGAAGACGGGGGGGGATGGAGGGCTGTTTTCTCTCCCAGACCGAGAGGCAGTGAAAGTGCCCAGCTGGAAAAAAAAAGACCGAGTGAGCAGCCTGCGACTTACTCGGAGTCCCTGCGGCGCTGCAGCTTCACCAGCTCCCGCTGCTTCTCCTTGTACCGGCGCTGCAGCTCCGCCAGCCTCATCCTGTAGTCCAGCTCCATTGCATCCATGTTCTCAATGGCCGATTTGATGGAGTACATCTGGGGTGGGGAGGCAAGAGGGGGCAAGAAGATCAGGACGTGTCCAGGCCCCCACCTAGCCAGGGGTGGTGCACACTGGGGTGCCCTTGCAATGGCCAAGATCTGCAGCCTGGCAGGGAAGCCCTCCATGGGCTCCAGTGGAGCAGAGCACCCTCACCCACAACAAGCACAGCCCTAGAGCGGTACCCGAGCAAAACCAGCCAAGCAAAGATGTGCTGTGGCTTATGCATGGGATGGTATCAGCTTTGAGGGAGAGCAACCCTCAGAAAGAACCTGAAGGATAAAATACACCCATGGAGCCTCTTTTCCCTTATTTAAAAAGACAGATCAAAATATTCCCTGTCTTGGAACACTTACTTGCCAGGTACAAAATAATTTGTCAGTCTCTCCCATGGGGAAGAGTCAGCAAAGAAAAAACAGGAAAAACCCTCCTGCCACTATATTTATCCCCCCTGCCAAAGCAGTAACATAGGAGTTCCTGCTGGCTTTGTATTACAAACACCGCTTCTAGGGCTGCCGAGGGTCCTGCTGAGATCAATGGTGTTGATTCACAAACAAGGGAGGAAGCTAAATTGCATCACACCGACTCCTGCGCAGCTACGAACGCGACGCAAGGGAAACGCTGGCTCGCTTTGCTGAATGCAGAAGGGCAACACAAGCCGGGTGGCAAACTGTGGCTGGAAGAGCAAGCTGCGGTGAGTGGATGCACCGTGGCTTTTCAGGCTCAGCCACACTAAGAGCTACTTACAGGTTCATCTTTCTTCTGCATCCAGCTGTACTTTTTGTTGGGATTCAGCTCTCGAGGCAGCCGGATGGTTTTCAGACTTTCCATAAAGGGGGTGGAAAGTACTTCCATGAGCATGTGGGTGCTGGCAGCCAGCAAACTCTCCAGCGTTGGCCGGACAGGGAAACTCTCTGGACCTGCTGAGGACAGAAAAAAAAGCTATAGAGGTTCACTCTCTCCAAGACTGCTCCTCCAGCAGGCACAAGGAGAGGCTGATGTCCCTTTCCGGACCATGGCAGCTCAAGGAGCCTCCCAGCCACCCTTGGCCCCCACTTGAGATCTCCTGTTGTGCCCAGCCATGGTGTAACTAGCAGTTCCCATCACGTCTCGCCTCAGGAAGTTACTGGAAGGTGAGATCTTTTCAGGACCTGCCAAGCTCTTGGAAAGCATCATCTGGAGCTACTGGGGCCTCTTGTGCCAAACCCCGACAGACTGCAGACTCAGTGCCTGCCAGAAGGGTGTTACCCTGGCAGCTCTCGGCAAGTGGGGCTCCATTTCCGCTACACATACCACAAACTGTCTAGACATGGCGAGGGCCTTTGGAAGGGGAGAGCAGTACAAAAGCCACACGTAGCTCAGCCTACTGCAACAAAAACCCTGCTCCAACGCCATCCAAAGTACCAGCCGCTCCTGCAACTCAGGGCAATGCTCTCCTTGCTGCCTGGCTGAGGTTGCAAGAGATCCCAACCTGTGCCTCTGCCCCTCTGCCCGCACAGAGAGCGCCAGGGCCGTATGCAGGGGGACCCAACCTAGCCCAAGGCTGGCCAGACTCCCCACTCACAACTTACTTTGTATTTCTTGCTTCCTTTTCTCCAGCTCCATCTCTGCAATTTCACTGAGCAAAGTGATCCCTTGCAAGAAGGAGTGCTCCAAGGCCTGGTCAGGTAACACCTCCACCTTCATCTGGGATGGAGTGACGCTGGCAGTAGTCAACAAGGAACAAGCCTGAGGCATTTCTGTGGCAGCCACCAAAGCGTTCATCCCTGCCAGCGGGTCGCCTGGCTTGATGTCCAGAGCTGGGATTTGGCAAGAGATTGCCTCTTCCGTGTAGGAAGGGATCTCTGGCCCCTGCTCCCCCTCCTCAGGGGGCAGGTTGGGAAACTCCCTCCCCCGGGGCACATCGGTGCTCTGCAGATCCATGGCTACAGAGGCCTCCTCCCGCTGGGGCGTCAAGTCCATCTCAGGCGGCTCGTTCTCCGCATGCACAAGCGAACCGTCATAGTCCATGTGCACAGAGCAGGTTTCTGCTCCACTCCCAGTCTCTGCCTGAGCCTCTGCTTCTGCAGGGCAGGCCACAACCTGGTAAGGAGGTGGGCAGCTCTGGAGGTCTTCCTGGTCCTGCTCCATAGCACCCAGGGCTTCACCTTGATGCAACAGGAGATTGCAATTGTCCACATTCTGCACTGGGACTGCTGCAGAGGTGGTGATGTTCAGAGTCCCCATGTCCTGCTCACAGATGCCGTCTTGGCTTTCCTCCATCTGCACTTCTGATTTCACCCTCTCTTCCAAGGACTCCTCTTCTGCTGCTGCTTGGATGGGCTCTAGCATTTTGGACGGAGACAGGTGGATGGGCTTGACCTCTGGGGAAAGCTCCATGTGCTCAGAGCCTTCAGCAGGCAGCGGGACATCAGGAGCCAGGCCATCTGCATCAGATGCTGCGGTGGGCTGGAGGAGGTAGGGATAGTGTCTTCCAAAGGAGGGAGGCAGGGACTGGAATGGATATCCTGGGGGGATCTCTGCAAGACATCAGAAGGGACAGGCTGTGTAAAGGCCGGGTCTCTAAAGCACCTCTCTCACTAAGGCATAGAGATGAGTTCCCTTCATCTCTCATCTCTTCCTATTCTCAAGCAGTGGCTGCTTTGGGCACCTCTCTCCTGGCCAAGCTGCCACAGGCATCAGCACCCCAGAGGTCCCTTCTGCACCTTTCCAGCACTTTCCTGCAACTGGAAAGACATCTGCCTCCTACATACTTCTCCCACTGAGACTTCAGCCCTGGAGGAACCAACCCAGGCTCGACCCAAGGGAAGAAGACAGCCTACAGCCCCAGGTGCCCCTAAGACCCGGGCATCAATCCAAGTCCATCACACCACCCCTGGTCCTTGCCTCTCCCCTGTCTTTTAGAGGAGCTACGTGGTTTTCTCTAGAGGAAGGGATGGAAGCAGGAAAGAGCTGAGGAGAAAAAGGGAGGCAGGCACAAACACAACGGGACTCTGCCAAAGCAGGGCGCTCTTACCTGGGAACAAGGCCTGATATGGACCAGCAGCCTCTTTTTCCAGCTCCAGGTCTTTCTTCTCCACGGTCTCGGGCACCTCTTCCTTTGGAGGGATGGCAGGGGCAGGGGGTGGAGAGGCAGGGGGCGGGCTGGAAGGATGGGAGCTGGGGGTGGCGGGGTAGGAGTAGGCTGGCTGCGAAGGTGGCTCCTCCATCTTTTGGATCACCTCAGCTTTGAGCACAGACACGGGTGAGGCCCTGGGAGAGAGGGGAGGTGGACTCACAGCCTTGCTGTAGGACGTGGAGGCGCTGGGAGACAGCACGGGTGGTTTTCGGTGCACCAGTCCCGGGGCAGAGGAGGAAAGGCCTGATTTGGCACTGTCCAGGTTCCGTTTCGTCACCTTCTCTTCCATATCTGCCCGCTGCTCGTTCGCCTTCAACCTCTCCTGTGACAAGAACAAAGCAAAACTCAGCACGACATCTCTACCTGCTCCTGGAAAGCATAGATCTACCACCAAACAAGACCAAAACATGGTCTTATCAAACATGGACTGGAATAAAACACATGTTCCTCTGCAACACCATTTTAAGGCCAATCTGATGGAGGGCGACACTGATCTGTGATAGCTTTCTTCACAAATTGCCAGCTCCAGGAGTCATGTCAAGGGTGTCTCAACTTTCACTTGCAACCAAAGCAAACCACTTCTATTTCTACGTCTCCAGCCTAGTAAGTACACATGTAAAATGAAGGCTGAAAACCAGATGACCACTATAAAAATTAAATGGGTGTAAAACACCCAAATGAAAGCTCACGACTTCCAAAATAATTTGGTGAATGGGAGCTGGCTCCAGGACCCAGTGTGATTGCTGCCAGTATTGCAGCTGGCTTCTCTGAGTCACTCAGGAGGTTTGTTTGGAGGTGACCAGGAATGAAACCACCCAACTAAACAGAGACATCCCTAGGGAAGGAATCAAGGTCACGCTGCTGCTGGGCAGCTCTCCTGACAGCACTGATCCACAGCTCTACACCAAACCCCTCCAAAACCCACCCCAACAGTGCAGGATGCACTGAATGCCTCGTATCCCAGGGACCAGGATAGGATCGCTCAATGCATCCGTACCCTTGAGACACACTTGCAACACCGGCACAGCTGCTTTTTCCCCCCAGACACTCCAACTTCAGGCTCATTTCATGTCCGAGCAAGAAGCTCCGGAAAACGTACCACGAGCTGGGCGCTCCTCTGTAGCTCCATGGCATGGGCCGCTTGCTGCTGCAGAATGTACAGCTCGTGCTGCCGCAGCAGCTGCTGATGGGAGAGGAGCTGGAGCTGGTGAGCATGCTGGAGGGAGCTCCTGGTCGGGGGGTACATAGCGGGCCACAGTGGGGGTGCCCGGTCCATCAGCTCCGCTGGGGAATGAGCAGAGATGCAGTCAGGGAGGCAGGAGGATGGGGATGGCTAGAGGATTCAGGATCACGCAGGGCACCCGTCTCTACCCCAATCCCAGGGTGTGGGGGATGCCAAACATTGGGCTATGCAGAAATGCAACCAGAAATGCAGAGGGGAAAGGGTGCTGTCTTTCCCTCAGCAGCCCCACTCCCACCACCCCCATGGGTCCTGGGGCCTGTCTGACTTGCTTTGCTCTCCACCCACCCTTGGTTTGACTGTCCCTGGCTGAGCCCACAAGTAGTTTCTCCTAACCAAGGACCCAAAGTCTATGGGGTCCTACAGGGGATGAGGAGCCACTGCTGAAGATTACACATTTCCATCTCTGAAACAAACCTAACAAGAGGCCAGCTCACGCCCACCCTAGAGCTGTGGCTGCTGGTCTCCACGGGTACATACGCTCCTATCTAGCCTCTCCAAAGCCTGTTTCCTCCACAGCTGTCAAAGCATGGTCCTCAGGGACATCCTTACCGAAGTGTGGCAAGTGCTCGCTGGGGATCACAACAAGCTGCCCCGACTGCGGGTCTCTGGCAAACTGGTAGGCAGAAGGGAGGGCTCCCCCCATGGCAGGGGGGAAGCCTGGAGTCATGCCCTGGTGCAGGGAAGGGTGACCAAGTCCTGGAAGAAGAAACACCACAGTCACAACTCAGGGGATGCAGGTAGCTCCTACCCACGCGAGTCATCTACCACTTGATTGCTCTAAAATACCTCCTTCCCTTTCCCCTGTAATCAGACAGCAGCCTCACTGGGCACTTAGCAACACCTCTCCCTGGACTGCATCGGTGTGAACACCCCATGGACACATCGCTCCCTCCCAGGGCACTCACCGTAGGGATGGCTAGCCAGCCACATGGAGGGGCTCCCTGTCCTGGGGAGCCAGGGGTGGGCTGCCAAGTGCGAAGCCGGGTCTGCAGACCAGCGCCCGGAGCCCGTCAAGGCTGGGCCTCCCGTCACCATGAGGTTGGAGTTCAAGCCATTCGTGGCACAGCCGGAGGGGTGTATCCGGGCAAAATCTGCCAGCTCCTTGCTCTCTCTGGTCATGAGGGAGGCAAGAGAGAGAGTGAGAGAGGGTCCGAGTGCTGCAGGTTACTGCGCGGCTGGAGGAGCCCAGGGGTATGGACCAGTCTGCCAGGCAAGTGTGTTTGCAAACTAGGGTCAGATGCTCAAGGAGAGCTGTGATGGAGGTGGTTAATGTCACGTCCAGAATAAAACATCCCATCTCTCCATCTCTTTGGAGCAGGGATGGATTTGCAGCAGTCTATTAGGATTGCCCTGCTGCAGATTCAGGATCTGCCCGTAACCCCATGGTACCCCACTCAGCACTCCTCTCCGCACCAGCAAGGCTGGTGCCAGCAGCTTCACCAGGATGGATGCAATCCTGTCCCTCCTCCAGACAGGCTGTCCCCAAGCATGGCTTGTGGCACTGTGGCAAGAGACCCTGTCCCCCTCTGGCCCTCACCTGAGCAGCTTCTCCTGATCCCGCTCCAAGCGCCCTGCCAGGAGGTGGCTGTCCCGGTGGCGGCTCCTCTCATCCCCGCAATCATCTTCCGAGCGTCCATGCCCTAAGAGACAGCCCAGCACCATCAGACACGAGAAACAGTGTGGGGAAAGCTGTCCCCTCTCCTCTGGGCATGGAGAGGCAGTACCCTGGGAGCCAGCACACCCAAATGCCACTGTCCCCAAGACTGTATCAGGTTCAAGCCCTAAAGGACAGGGCAAGGCTGTCTATGTGATCAAGATATTCTCACTAAGGTGGCTCCTGGTAGCACCCAGGTGCATGTGGTTTGAGGTCCGTGTCTTCAAGCCATCGAGGGACCCACTCACCAGGACAGGACAGCCACCAGCCTGGGAGCAGCAGGACCAACGGGACCATTTTTGCTGAAGGACAGTGGCAGATTTCCCATCTCAGAAGGAGACGAGGCCCAGCTAAATCCCTGCATCAAACCACACAGTCCTGCTTAGCACATCTCACAGGGGGGCATTTTATCTCTGCACCTTCTGAAGCACCTTCTGCTCTTGTAAACCAGTCTGGGAGCAGTGGGTATGCTCTGAAGCCCTGTCCTTCTGCAACAGGCAGAACCAACACTATGGACCCTCACAAAACCAGTGTTCTCCGCTCTGTAATTCAACCTGTTAGCGGGAATCTGCATCCGCCTCCAAGCCATGCAACAAGAAGGGGTCTGGTGAGGCAGGGGCACATATGGCAGAGGAGGGCAAGAGTCCAAAAAGGGGGGCTGGATGTTTGGCTCGAGAAATGGCTCATCCAGAATCAGAACAGCTCTTGCAAATACAGCCTGGCACAGTAGCAGCCGCGTCTGCGAGAGGTTAGGAAGCACCTTCACAGGAGTGAACAGCAGCTCCTCACTGGCCCTGCCAGGACCAGGTATTGGGGCCACCCTTCCCTTATTTTATCCAAGGTCTTCACCCCAGCTGCCTGATTTTAGGCTTGCTTTTCCCCGGTTTTTTCCCTAGCTTCTTTCTTGCATATGCATTTTTTCCATAATTCCCTGTTGCCCCGTCCATGTTATGCTTTGGTGACGTGACCCGCCCCTAAATCCCAGCCCTGCTCACAGGAAGCCGCTGGCCACGTCTAACGGGGCCAGAAGGAAGGTGTTTACTTCCCCCCAGCTCTCAGTGCACCCTGTCAGCACATCCCCTGCCCAGGCGATGCTCTGTACCGCGCAGGGCTCAGCGGCACAGCACAGCCTCACACAGCTGCACCCTGGCTCCTGGCAGCCCTTTCCAGGGTCCTCGCCCTCCCATCTGGATAAAGTTTGGCACACGGGAAAGCATCTCAGGAACATCAAGTCTATTTTGCTGACAGGCAGTCTTTTCAAGGAGAGCTCTGCTGTGTATTTCCACAAACCTGGACAGCCCGTGGTTTTTTTGCTGTCAAGTCTCCAATTCCCTCAGCCTTTACTGTCAGAAGGAATCCAGGAACAAGACAACATCTCTCCCGGCTCCTCTCCCTAAGGCTCCTTCCATGGGCTTCAGGCAGAAAGCAAAGATGCTTTAAAACCTGGCACACACCTCTCCCTCCTGAAGGACTTTCCAGGGTCACCACATTTCCCTTGCAGCGTGCCAGGACACTGCGTGCAGTGGCTGTCCCCAACCAGCCCCTCCTCGACTTGCTGAATGATGCCCTATGCAGCCTCCGTTGCTCAGTTTTACTACCCAGCCTCCATGGCAAGAGGCACAGGAGGTCGCGAATCCCTCCGGAGCCCCAGCATCCCTCCCTGCCTCTCCACCAGCATCCCCACTCACACACAAATCCCCTTCCACCCCCTAGCCCAGGTTTTCCCCCCTTGGAGCCCCTTTTCCTATTTCTTTTCCCCAATCAATGCCAAATTGCCTCTTCAGTGTCAGCAATATGGAGCAAGCCCTTGGTTAACTCGCAGCCTCCCTCTCTTCCTTGGCACCAGGTGAGCTGACCCCCGCCCCAAGCCTTTTATTAGAAACACATTATTTTGTTATTTTATCTCTGCTCCTCCCTCTCTGATCTACATTACTTGCGCTCCGTTATTTATAGACAGGTTTATCATCTTCTTCTCATCCCCCATCTGAACACACACACACTTTCTTATTCCTCTAATTCCCGCCTAGCCCCCACCCCGCCAACAGGACGGTCCCTTTTCTGTACAGACTGATGATTGTCCGGACAGTGAATGATCATTTTGTCTATATATATGAACATGACGCACGGACCGCATAGAAAAATTCAATCAGTTATGCATGGAGGAAAGGCTTAGGTCCGTTTCCTTGACAACCAATGCCCAGCACTAAATACTTGCATTTTACTTGCCAAATACTACAGATTAGCCAACTAAAGCCTGCTTTCTCCTTCTTAAAAGGTCTAAACATTCAAGCACCGTCCACTCAGCGCAAGCAAGCTAATGTTATTAGACGAGTATCTCCTGGCACACAAAGGGGGGGCAGCATTTGGGGGGCGAGAGGAGGAGAAAAGCAGTCTTGTTTTCTGTCTGAAAGCCAACTGCATCACTTAGCAACGAGCCCAGAGGCCTGCCAGAATTCAACCCTTGTTTGCAGCCTTTTAGTTCGGCTCAGTAAATTACATTTAACGCAAGCTGGGAGGGTCTGGGACGATTGAACGGCTGAACAAACAGCTCCCTGTGCTGCCCACGAGGTCCTCGGTCAGCTCCTGCCCGGCCGTGGGGAGGGCGACGGGAGGCGATGGGAACGGGGACAGGGGCCAGGAGAAACCGCCTCTCACCACTGAGGTTTGGGAGAAGGGGGCGAAGGCAGAAAAATGGGAAAAGCAAAGGCTAAAAATGGAAACCCAACCATTTCTCGCCAGCTTTGGCATCGCACCTTGGCACACCAGAGCCGAGCTCTCCCCTTGCTACACAAGCCAAGCAGAGCACCAAAACACTCGTTGGAGCCATCCCCCTCCTACCAGCACCATGGCTTAAATCAAAACCATGAGACTAAAACACCAGCACAAAGGTGGATTAAGGGGTTTCTCTGTCACTGCCTTCACTAACAGGGATCAAACACGTGGAGAAGGGTTGTCCTCAGAGATGAACAGAGGGGATGGCATGGGGGAAAGGGGACTCCCTCTTGCATGGGGAGTCCTGCTCCCTGCTGTAGTCTACAACGTGCCCTTGGCTGAGAACAGGAGGCAGAGGGAGCTGAGGATGCGAAACTCAGCTCATGCCACACAGCCTGCACTGGGTGGCTGCTCTCCCCAGGGAACAGATCCCACAGGGGAGTCCCGAGACAGGTCTGGAGAACTTACCTTTGATGCTGCTGAGAGACAGCGAGCGATCCCGGTCCGCCAAGCTGGGCCCCAGTTTGCTGCTGCTGCTGCTGCTGTTGTCCTTCTGCCGGGCCACGGCCACGGCGATGCCAACGGGCAAGTGCCTCACCTCCACCTCGCCCTGGGAGCCAATGCTCTCACGGCCAAAGGATTTGGCACTCTCGGGTCTCTCAGGGTCCCTCTTCAGCTGCTTCGCTGGCTGCTGCGACAGCAGCTGCTGCACTTTGGAGGCACCCAGCTGTGAAGAGTCCAACTTCATGTTGCCCAAGCCACCGAAGGGGCTCTTCTTGCCACAGCTCTGCCGGGACGCGGTCTCCTTGGCAAAGCTGCCACTGTACTTGATGAGGCTCTGCATGGCTGACCCTTCGCCATGGGAGGCGGGGTGGAGGACATCCGTGGCGCCCCGTGAGCCCACCACCGAGGACCGCGGCAAGCCACTGGGGTCAAGGTAGACCTTCTTGGCTTCCTCCTCCGCCCGGGTGACATGGTTGTGCTGCGCAGCCAGCACCGCCATCTGTGTGGTGGCAAAGTTGCCCATCTCAAAGGGCTTCCACTTCTGCTCGGGCGGTTTCAGCTGACCGTGGTCCAGGTGCTGCCGGGAAGAGTCCAAAGTGCCATAAACCTTCGCTGCTTCTTTGGAGCTGGATCGCTGGAAGCGGTCCCGCTCGCAGGGGCGATGCTCTGCCTCCGGACTCGGCTTCAGCAAGTCCTTGGAGGCCAGGAACTCCCTGCTCTCCGGAGAGCCCAGCCCCGGCCGGTTGAGGAAGGGCTCCGAAGTGACCTGTCTCTTCAGTGCCATGGAGTTCGCCCTGATCACCGAGCCCTTCTCCCTCAGAGCCTCCATCCTTTTGGCATCGCTGTGGCAAGAAAAGTCCTGGGACAAGAGCGTGCGGGAGGTGTCCGCAAGGCACCGCTCTGTGGGTGACTGCAGCACCCCTACCTTGCCGAGGTCCTTGTCTTTTGCCTTGTTGTCACGGGCCTGCGAGGCAATTTGGATGGGTCCACTCCTCTCATCGTAGGCTTCGACCGAAGGCACAAAGGTGGGGGCGATGACTTTGTGCTCCCTCCCCAGCTCCTTGGCCGGCGGGAAGATGGTGTACATGCTGGAATGGACGGGCTGCGGAGGGAATGTCGTGGCCGGCGTCATCTTCCCCGGCTGCGAGGGGTGTGGGGACGGGCAGCTGCAGGAGACGTGCAAAGCGCCCACAGAGGGCAGGAGGGGCTCCCCCCGCTTCAGCCGCTCAGCGTGGGCGTGCGCAGAAGGCCTCATGTTCTCATCGTGCCGAGCGGGATCCTTCGCACAGCGATCCTGCTCGGCACCCAGGACCTTCAGCATGGGATCCCCGCCTCCGTTGCAGTTGCTGAGGGAAGAGCTCTGCAGAGGGTTCTTGGACTTGGGTTCCCCGCCACCCGCGCCCCGATTTGGCATGTGCTCAGCCAGGAACGGTGAGAGACGCTCACCGACCTTCACCGCCTTCTCCACCACACTCACTTTCCGGTCGCTGTCGGGCTTGGTGTCCTGTGTGAGGTCTACCACGCTGCGGGGCCGGGGCTCCTCCTTCGGCTTGCCCTCCTTCTTGGCAAAGGGCAGGGACAGATCGCTCCGGCATGCCCGCTCCTTCCCGCTGGGGTCTTTCAGGCCTTCTTTCGAGCTCTTATGCAGCTGCCCAAGGTCCTTCTCCCGGAGCAGAGTGCTCGGCGTGTGGTTGCCCGCGGTCCTCGACAGGGGAGGCTGCGGGTGCAAAGCGGACTGGCCCGCGTGGCCAGACAGGTAGAACCCATCTGCAGAGCAAAAGCAAACAAAATTACCACGGGCCTCCAACCCCTTCAGTCCTACACAGAGACAGATGAGAGGTGGCAAACCGGGAGGGAACGGGTTTCAAGGATGTCTCAGACATGGCCAGGAAGGACCAAGGCAGAGAAGACCTGGCAGGTACCTCCACATGGCCTAGGTGGGGACGCAGGACAGCCCTGTCTCTGATGCACACTGAGACTTGCGATGCAGCAGCAAGTTGGGGCTTCAAGGAGGGATCTGGCCAGGTTCCCTACACACAGCCACATCCAAGACGTTGGTATTACTAAGACATCCCTGGATGATAACCCAAGGGGGTTCCTGCCCTTCCCCCTCATCATCCCAGCATCCAGCAGCTCCAGCAGCCAAGCAAGCCCTAAGGACAGGGTTAGCACGCCAGGGATGATGAAGGGGAAGGGTGCGTGGGGACCCAGACTCACCTTTTTGTGACTCAAAAAGGCTGTGCTGACCCAGCTGGGCCAGGAGAGGACTGCCAGCGCTGGGGGGCTCGAGGTGGCTCAGGGGAATGTACGACGGGTAGAGCCCGTTAGGCAGATGGGAAAAGCCTGCAGAAAATAGGAAACAGAAGAGGGAAACATGTTTCAGCCCGAGCAGCACGCCGCCTTGGAACGAGCCCCGCAGGAGCACAGACTGTTGTGGCTGTCGGTCCCTCACGCGCCAGTAGCAGCGGCTGCAAGGACGCGTGCGGTAACGCACACCTCACACAGCCCACAGTGGGGAGCGCTGCTCGGGACCCCTGCTTTAGGTACTGACCCCCCTCTGCAGGTCCCCCAGCTCGCCCCTTGCACCTCTGCGAGGCTCTAACTTTGCAGCCGGTGGGCTGCAAATGGAGCGTGCTGCTTTCTGAGCAGAGCCTTAAATCTGCAGGCTAAATGACCAAACCACCTGGCCGATAAGCTGTTTTATCACAAGTACAGTGACCTGTGGGTGAGGGCACTCCCCAACACGCTTCCCGAGCAGCGATAAGACTCTCTTGCCAGCACAGCTTTGCCAACACAGCCCGTCCCCGCTGCAGCCGCACCACACCGGGTGCAGGCTTTGGGGAAAGTGCGAGAGCATCCTCCACAGCAGCTCACACAAAGCATAGCTTCACATACCCAAAACCAGCATCTTATCTCCAAGGAAGGCAAAACAGAGGAGAAAACCTGCTGCCTCCCCACGAGCTGATACAAAGGCAGAGTGTCCCCAAGGCCCAGCTGCCAGCAATCTGGATTATATCCTGGACACTGGGGCCTCCTCCAAGAGTGGGCCCCCCAGCAACGTGCTCATGCAAATAATCATCAGCAGCATTTCATCAGTGAATACAATCACCATAATAGTGGTAATAACACAAGCTCTTGGCTACAGGCAGCAATTCCTCTGCAACACTGCCACCAAATGGCACCCGTGCAATACTACAAACCGCAACGCTCTGCGAGAACCAGCTTCCCAGTTGGTGCCATCATTTAAAAATGGATTAAAAGCCATCAGGAGAGTCTGAAGGAGCCAGTCAAGCCCCCTGCAAGCCTCCTCCCTCCCCCTCAGACCCCATTAGCAACAAACCTCCCCAAAATTCAGCAATCCCACTAAAAGCAAGCAGGCAATGAGTTTGTCAAGAGTTCAGCACTCAACTGGATCAAAACAACATCACATCAAAACCCAACAGGAGACGTAAGTTCAGTCCCCGAAGCTGCACGTGGAGCACCATCTGTGAGAGCTAGTCAATATTTCACATTATTTAGACAGCCGGGATCTCTTTCGCATACATGTTTGCATCCCGGCACATGTGCTTCACCGACACGGTGCTCCGCACAGCTCCTGGCCCAGATCCATCGCCCGACAGCTCCCAGCGGCATCACCCGCACACGCCAACCCTCCAGTGGCAGGACCAGGGGAGCTGCTGTGCCCATGAAATTCAACACAGAGCCCGTTCCCAGCAGGTAAAACTTGCCATTTGATCTTGTGCAGGGTGCTGTAAAGGCACTGAGTGTGCACACACATTCACACCTCTCCTTGGTAACCCCAAAACCTTCATACTGGAGCATTTCCAAACATGCTTTCTTATTCCAGGGCTGGAGAATGCTGGGTAGCACCCAGGGGCACCTACCCTGGGGTTAGCTGTGAGCAGCTCCACTCCACAGCATGTTTGCCTCGGCCGCGCCACCTCCGCCACGCCGCTCTGGCACGGCTGGGCTGGTGACGAGCCAGCGTCTGGAGCAGGAGCGACACATTTCCGAGGGAACGCAAGTCCCATCTGGCAGAGCACATGGTTGCAGCACAGCAAACCCCCTGGAGCACCCCATGCCACGCTAGCCCAGCGGCTCCAGCCCCAGACATCCCCACATAAGCCCCTTCTCCCAGCCAGACCTCGATCTCAGCTGCAGGCGCTCCAGCAGGAGAGAGCACCGGCATGGAGATTGCGGCAAGACACATCCCACGCTGCAGACACTGCCACGTGCAGGTGCCCATGGCACGTCCCCATTTGCACATGGTGCAAGGACATGAAGGCACCTGCAGAGCTCCAGGAAGGGGACATGATCCAGCCCTGTCATCCAGCACAGGGACGTCTGCACACAGCTTAAGCTACTGGTACCCAAAGAGGCATTTTGGCACCAGTTACACTCCTGGTCCTACTGGGGCAGCTCCCTGCCTGTGGAATCTTATCCTACCCAGGGATAACACAGGGTCAGCCCCAGCCCCAAACACTCTGGGGCTTCCTCCGCAATCAGCATTATCACATCCCACCGCTGGGATCCCGACTCAGCCCGGGGCTGCAGGAGGAGGAAGAGGAGTGGGAAGGTCGGCCGAAAGAACAAGGGGATGAGGAACTGTGGGATGACAGTGGCTGAAGGGCAGATGAAATCCCCTCCAGCTGCCCAACGTAAGACAAGCTGTCACAGAGGTTTTCTAGCCACTGTGCTAGAGCAAGGAGCAGAGTGGTGACAAGCAGCTTCATGTGCAGTCCGAACTAGGGACAGGTTCAGGTGGACAGGTTGGGGACCCTGCAGGGCAGTGTTACCACCCCAGCTGGCAAGCAGCAGCAGAACCGAGCTGATGCCACTAGCCAAGCCCCAAAGCCACCCCGCACCAGGCAGCCCATTCCCTGCCAGGAACCAGAGCTGGGGCAGGGAGGAGGGATCCGAGCCACAGCCTTCCTGGGGATGAACCCAATGCAAATCCAACTCCGAGGCACTGCCAGAGCATCCCTTCCTCCATACAGCCCTCCAGCAGCAATGCTGATGGGCAGGCGTAAGACTCGCACACAGCCCGAAACCTGCTGCCCCGCTCCCCCGGGCAGGACCTGGAGGTGAAGCTGCTCCTTCATGCGCTAAGTAGCTGCATTTGCAGGAGGCAGCCACGGGCAAGTTGCTCCCTCCTTGGATCTCCGCGCCAGAAAGCAATGCCAAGGGAAGAAACTCTACCGCAGTGAGCAACGCACAGCTCACCCCAACCATGGGCTTCTGCCAGGGGAAAGGGAGGGGAAAGGGGGAAACCACAACCATTTCCATCTGCCCGGGGCCAGAGCGTTTGCTGAACCAGCGCAAGATCCTTTTCGCCCAGGGACATGCCGACAGGTCTCGGCAGGCTGAGCCACGCTCCTCCAGCCGACTGCTCACCCAGCGGCGGGCTGGCACCACGGTGCAGGCAGGGAAGTGCGAGTCAGTAGCACTGCCAGCACCAGACCAGCTGTGCCCCCCTTCCCTTCCCTGCCACGCCACGCCAAACGCGCGTGCCCATCAGCACAGCCTCTGGCCGCCTGGGAAAGGGGGTAGCATGGGCACACATGATCCAAAGCAGCCCGGCTCAGAAGGTAAAAGGGTTTAAGGGGCACAGAGATCATCCCTCAAGCCACCTTAACCCTGCAGGAAGGCGACAGCCGGCAGCCAAAATCACATCCCTGCTCAGCTCCCCCCTGCGATGCTTCAGTGGGTGTAGTGGATGGGCACGGAGCCAGGACGCGCGCCTGTCCCCTCCTTCCCAGCTGCAAGATGAGCTGGTAAAATGTACCTGTTTTGCACGACTGAGACATAAATCACTAAGGGCTGTTATTAGAAGAACTTGGTGGGTGCAGATATGTTAGTCCAGTTGAAAACATCTTCATCTTTGCTCAGCTCTCCAAAACGGCGGGGGGAATGGGGGGGAGAGGTATGGCCGGGTGACTCACCACCGAGAGGGGATGTGACTGATGGGGAGATGAGATACCAGCGACCGCACAAACCGCACACCAACGTTTGGAGGCCAGAGGTCGCGCCGGAGGAAGCGAGAGGGAAACGGGCCCCACGTGCTCAGCCCACTCGGGATTTGCCCAAAGCTCCCCAGGAGGAGGGAGCCACCAGAAAACATTGCCTGGCCGAGGTGGTGAAGGCAGGCGGGCGGACGTGCCTGCAGCAGAGCGGGCTGCCGCATGCCACCGGTCGCCCAGAGTTTTTAACCTGCAGGCTCTCTCCGTCTTGGCCCCCCCAGTCCCCAGGCCTGAAATTCAGCTCCAGCTGGAAGAGTTGGACAAGCCTGGGTTGTGAAAGAGCAGGGCAGGAGGGGGACACGCTGGAGCTGAATGCATCTCCCCCGCGGACACGGCTCCAGCCGATGAGCCAGCCTACAGGTCTGATGCAACACGTGTGTGCCAGCGCTGGGAAAGCTGCTCCACCCCAGCCCGGTTGCAGGCGACCAGCCGGCACCTTCATGGCATCCCCACGCTGCCCTCCATGCCAGCTGCCGATCCGGCGCAGAGGCGACAGTTCACTCAAGCACCCACAAAGGGTCAAGGACAGCAAGCAGGAGCTTGAGACACCACTCAATGGGGAATTCACTCCCCTGGTCCAGTTTTCCAAACCAGCCGGCAGCACCCATGCACCAGGGAGAAGCAGCATCCACAAAGCCTCTATCCATGCCCGGGGATGGCTCTCCGGTCCCTGCTGTCGCCTCGAAGGGAATCACACAACAGGATGCAGCTGTGTGATAGCCCCAGTGGCCTGGACAGGCAAGCAGGCGGCCACGTGCGATGCCGGCTGCAAAGCGCACCCTGAAGCTGAGCCCGAGGCACGAGCCATCTTTGCCCGAGAAGCCACAGCCCTGTCACCGGAAGACCGGCAGCCCCCAGCACCCCGGGAGAAGTGAAGTAACTCTCCCCCATCGGCCCCGTCTGCCCGTTATGGGTTTCTGCCACTTATGAAATATTTCCAACCACCGGCATCTCGCCCCATCCTCCCTGGGCCGTGATGGATGGACACACTGCCAGGAAGCAGGCTGGCACCACGCAGCACTGTGCAAGGGACCGTGGCCACAGCAGAGCCCGAGCCGAAAAGCCTGGCCCCGTGGTCCCTCCAGTCTGAGCCCAGAGGGGCTGGGAAACCCAGCGGCAAGGCTTTGGGTTTATTTCCATGGGAAGTTTTCAGCTCTGGGCACCCCAGGGAGATTTGCAGCCCTGTTGCAGTCAGGATCTCAGCTGGCTGCTGGGCTCTGGCACGGAGCAGGAGCCGCAGCCGCCCTTGGCCAGGAGCACAGTCACCTCTTCCCCAGTCCAGCTCGCAGCACCTCACAGGCAGCCAACTGGGACACCAGACCATGCCACAAACAGCTGGATAAAAGCTTACGTCCTCATGAGTTCCCTTTCCCCAGCAGGGAGGGAGGGGAACCGGGAGAAGTCCAAGCACAGCGAGTACCTGCCGGCCGCCAGCCCCCGTGGGACCCCCTCCCACCGCCGGTGGGACAGCCACCGTACCAGCACCAGCTGCCTGTGCTCACCATCATCGGTGCATCCCTGATACTCTCCCTGCAGAAGCAGCAGCTTCCCGGGGGAGACTCTTTTAGGCCCCCCCCCCTTCAGCACACACCTCCCCATCTCTGCCCCACGACACAGGGGCACGCAGCATGGCGAGGCATGGCCGCAGCTATTTCTCATGCACATATTTGTGGCTGCGAACAGCTGAGAGCCAGGAGCGCTGACAGTGTAAATCTTTGCCGCCTCCTCCCCTGTCTGCCAGGGCAGCTCTAGTGACACCCAAGGCACCGGAGCCACCTTGACTCCATGCCACACACGAGACGCCAGCAATACGAGCCCCTGAACACGCCGGGCTGAAACCAAAGCCCCCGGATCAGATGCACCTGGACCACAGCGGTGGCCGGTCCCTGTCCCCGTCCCCGCAGCCCCAAGCCGCTGCCGCCGTCGCAACCAACCGCCCTCCGCCGCAAAACCCGACCCTGATGTACTTATACCCTGTGCCACGGGGCTGGCAGTTGCTTCAAAGCCTTAATTTACAGCCTCGATTCTCTGCGTCCCCTGAAGGCCTTCGATCTCATCCCCTGGATCCAGAACAGCCAGGTAAATTTAACTCCCCGTTTAATCTTCTAAGGGCCCCGGTGAGCTCGGAGACAGCATCCTCTGGTGGGGAGTCCACGCTCCCGGCCTTTGCCAGCTTGAACACCACCGCGCTGCTTTCCTTCAGCTGCAAAAATCACTACTTTAAAAGCCAAGGCAAGTTCCCCCCCCAGCTCAGTGCAGCTCTCTATTGTTTCTTTTAATTTTATTTTATTCCATGTGGGAGTCTGTGTCCAGGCTGCTTTATTTTTAAGTGGCTCTTGCTCAATATTTACTATTGCTCGCAACTGCGTCAGCAGAGGAACAGCACGCACTCCCACCGGGTTTCCGACAAGCCCTCCCGCAGCCATTACCCCGTGCCAATGCCGTGCCATGATTTTACTGCCGTGCTACCCTCGCGGTGAATCACCACCTGCCGGGCCCCCCCCGCAGCCAAGGCACACCAAAGGGCAGGGTGCATGCACAGGGCACGGAGGGGTTCCCTGCCTCCCTGGAAATAAGTATCATCAGGTTG